GGTATTTTATTACTTTTGCCTAGTTATTTTTGTTGGGTTAAGAAGGGCGATTGGGCGTCATGCGGAAGCTTATAATTTGCAAATCATATGGTTGACAAATCAGACGACAAATAAAAACATACTAAAGATATATTATTAATATGGTTTGGTCAAACGACCTACATATTATAAAACTAATATAATATTGAAAAAAAAACATAAATATGTTTAAAGAGAAAATCTCCCCATAAACAAGACTCTTAACTGACTACATTGTGGATTCTCTCGTGTTTTTGATATGAGAAGAGGGGTCTTCAATTTATAGAGTTCCAAACTTTTCTTCCAAGGAAAGAATAACTCAATTATGGAAGAATATTATATTTTCCTTTTAAGAAAAGTAAAAACATTTATGGTAATGTTTTGTCTTTTCTTTTAGGAAAAAATAAACTTCAAATAAGGTAAGAAAATCAGGACAAAACCCTAACAATTTTAGCATTCTTGCTCTATTATTTAATTTTTCTATTAGGTATTTTGAATTGAATTGCATTGAATTGATTGTTCAATTTGTGTTTCGTCATTCTAGCTGTGTCATTTTATTTAGATAATTTTGTTACTATTGCTTTGTTATTTTATCATTTTTGATCTGATACTTTATGTTGCTATTAGGTATAGTAAATTAATTTGTATCGATTGTTTATTCTATGCTCAATCATTCTTACTTGTATTTTATTTATGTATTTTGTCTTTCTTGTTTCATTATTTGACCATTCTTTCTTTCCCATTTTGTTATTGGCTTGTTAGTCTGACTACCTTGATTCATGGTTTGCTTGTTAGTTGCTTTCTTGATTATTATTTTTACACTTGACTATTTTTATAACTTGCATTAGTGGCTTTTGGGTATGTTAGTAATTTAAGATTGTGTCCTCAATTAGGGTTTGGGGTAGGGGTGGCCGGTAAGGGCATAAATGGAGTTCCTATATTGTTAGTTGGATCTTGGAATATAGGGATATTGAAGAATAGGCCGATCGAGTTGGAATAACACTAGGGTGTTCGACTATAGAAGTTATTCATCTTGTAAGGAGATTGTTGGAGTAATATAGGTACAATAAGAAGAAGACTCACAAATGGTGTTCATTGACCAAGAAAAGATGTATAATAAAGTCTCTAAGGAGGTCCCTTAGAAGTGTTTGGAGTCTAAAGGTGTACTTGTGGCTTACATTAGGTCTATTACGGATATGTATGATAGATCCAAAATCATTTACAACAATTAATCATAATGAAAGGTACAAAATTTACACGAAGAGATGAGTTACTCAAGTATAAGGAGGATGATCAGGGATATTGTGGGGTTCCAGCCCCCATTTTTGTTAAAGTCTTAAGTTGGTACAACTACATACCAACTAATTCTTATCAAGATAACTACATAGTTGCAAAGTTTGAAACTTTGGTATTTTCATTATGTCATTGGTGACATAATTAGGAGTAGATTTCTCCTATAAATAGAGAGCCCTTTGCTCATTTGTAAAACACACCAAGTTAGAGAGAAAAAACCATTTTGAGAGCAAAGTGAGGTATTCCATAGACTATACAAGAAAAATAGTCTGTGACAAAAAATAGAGTGTGAGCGATATTTTAGTAAGGTGAAAATCAAAAGAGTGTTATTCCTTTTGAGTGTGTAGTAGTCACTTTGAGTATTGTATTCGTGACTACAGTGTAAAATTCCTTACAATAGTAATATCAGTTGCTCATCTTGGTCAGTGGTTTTTCCCTTATTTAGAAGAGTTTCCACGTAAAATTCTTGGTGCCATTATTTTCCCTTCTTATTTCCATTACTTTTACATATATATTTTTGTGCTTGTCCGCGTTTTCCCAACAGATATCATGATGACAAGATAGGAAATGGGTAAAGTGTTGTTAAAGAATGAAATTCTTGATCCATTATAACAAAAAAAAATAGAATTTAGCGATGGACAAATTTCATAGTTAAGTGGCAAAAATTTTGTTGATCCTATTCGGTGATGAATTAGCGATAGATTTTCGTTAGCTACGAACAAAATAGCAACAAATGAGTGATGATCAGGGATATCATAAAGACAAGATAGGAAATGGGTAAGGTGTTGTGAAAGAATGAAATTCTTGATCCATTATAACCAAAAAAAATAGAATTTAGCGATGGACAAATTTCATAGTTAAGTGGCAAAATTTTTGTTGATCCTAATCGGTGATGAATTAGCGATAGATTTTCGTTAGCTACGAACAAAATAACAACAAATGAGTGATGACCTTTATAGTTAATTTCAATTTTTTACTGGTGATCGTCAAGTTCGACCCATTTCCAAGCACTCAAAATGAAACAAAGTAATCGGTACAAAGTTTTTAGGTACTATATACAACATAGTAATCGGTAACAAAGTTTTTGTATTACATTGTAATTACACGACAACTTTTTGAACAGGTTTTGATAATGCCAAAGTAATTCAGACAAAGTAAATCAGGTTCACAATTCAGTAGCAGAACTAACGCGAGAACTGAGAAATCGAACAAAGTGAACCAGGTTCACAATCCACTAGCAGAACCAATGCGAGAACAAAGAAACCTTATCAAAAGACAAAGACTCCTAAATAAGGAAAAAAAGTGCAGAAGAAATTTTAAAAGACAAAGACAATCCTACATAAAGAAAAGAAGTGCAGAAGACTCCTTATAAGACAAAGACTCTTAAATAAGGGAAACAAGTGCACAAGACTCCTTATAAGGAACGGAAAACTTTTTGAGGAAAAAGAATTACTTACCTTGTAGGATTAACTAGGGTCTAATCCACCCTTATAAAAGGATCATTAAAGAGGAGACACAGTTTTTTGCACAATCATAAATTGAGAATATTTTGCAACAAGAGCTTGTGCGGCTAAAAAGAGGAAGATGACAGAAGAAAAAAGAACTAGAGTTAGGTTTTCTTTCTAAAGCTTAGTTTGCATAGTCTCATCTTAGAATTGTTGTTTAGGGATAATTGTTCTAAGTGTGAAAGAGAATTTGTGAGAATTGTAACACAAAGTGGATTTGACCTCTTGGAAAGTAGAGAAAACGGTTATAGTTAATCATTAGAAAGAATTGTAACAAGAAGTATGTTTGACTTCTCGGAGAGAAGAGTGCACAACTATAGTTAGTTAGTGTGAGTAACAAGAAGTGGGTTTGGCTTCTTGGAGGGTAGATTATACAATTATAATTAATCATGGAACAGTTTGAGTAAACTGTTGAGGTGAGTCACTAGAATTAGTCCCTTTGATTATAGAGTAGTAATCTAAAGTTGCTCTTTGAAGTTCGTGAAGTTTGGTGAAATCCTATGAGGTGTAGGTCGTGGTTTTTCTTCCCTTGAGCAAGGAGGTTTTCCACAATAAAAATATGTTCCATTTTGTTACTATTTCTTTCTAGTCAGTGTTATCAAAGACGCGCTTAAGCCCTGAAGCGAGGCTCAAAACGTGTTGAGCGTTTTGCCTCACTTTAGGTGGGCTCTAATGTCGTCATCAAGGTTCTCAGACAAATGTTTCCTTGCCAAGTAGCCTCTTATGAAGAAGTGACACTAAATAATTGATATTTCACTTTATCATTAAAAAAATCAATTTCTTTGGTGATATCTTTGTCATTTATGTTTATAATTATTAGTGTTGAACTAAATATATATATTTGTATTCTTCTCTCTTTTCATCATTTTTCATTAAAATCCACGCTTTATTTACCCCACAGACCTTAGAGCTTTTTTGCACTTTTTGGCTTTGATAACACTGGTTTTAGTAATCCAACAAGAACCTGGTTATTGTTTAGGTGGTTTAGGTTTCTACACATTGTTCATCTTCAAGTCATTCTTTAGCCTGAAGTAGAATCAGTGAACTCTTTACATGCTTAGCATGTTTAATGCTGTGAATATTTATAAAATACTTTCTTTTATTGATCGAAAAATCAATTTTGCATTTCCATGTCATCATGGAGTTAGAATGGAAGATGAAGACTTTGATTGTATTAGACTGGTTCGGTCTGGCTCTTCCACTTTGCTGCAGCTCTCTGTCCTGAAGTCTGGACCATCGCCTTTAATTCTTCGTCTTGCTATTGTGTACATCTCTTTAAAGAGAGTCGATTTATAATCTTTTCACTTTGTTTGGGATTGACATGTAGTTGATTGATTGATCTATTTACTTGTCTAGTGTGATACTGATACTCGATGGGAAATGGAACTTAGATCACGATGTGAACTTACTTATGAGTGGAATTTCGTTGATAAAGTTTGTGGGCAGTTATACTAGCTTGCCACATGTTCATTGAGCTAATGAGACCAATCATGTTGCGACTGTTACTTTCCACCTGGCGATAACTGAACTGCTGGAGGACATTGCCCAGCTGGAAGATAAAAACACTATTGTGGTGACTCTAGCTCCAAAGAAAGGTGGAAACATGTATGTCCATTGGAGGTGTGCAGTGCTCTTTAACTTTGTCTCAATTGACATTTATGTCTCTTATCTTTAGATGTGCACAACTAGACACTTAAAACTTGTATAAAATTGAACAACTATACACATTCGTCCTATGTGGCGTCCTACTGGGCAATTTTGTGTCCTATGTGGTGTCCTACGTGTATTATGACACGTAGGACACGTGTATCTACTCGTTCAGTTTTATACAAGATTAAATGTCTACTTGTGCACACCCAAAGTTAAAGACCATAGTTACCGGCTGAAATCATGTTAAGGATCATGTTTATGTATGATGCGTTTTATAAACTTTAAACTTCCCTTGAAAAAGAACAAAGACTTAGAATGATTTGTTTGACAAAAAAAAGTATAATTCTTGACTTTTAACATTAAAATCTGGAAGAGTTAAATTGGAAATTGAGTGGAACTTAAACAACAAAAATTGGGCCAAATTATGACAGTCCTCTGTTTACAATCAAATAGAGTAACAATACAAATTTAATAGTATAACACAAATAATTAAATAGTGAGCAATTGATAATCAAAGTAAATTTATTATTACTCTCACAAGTAAAGAAATTAAAAGTGCACATTTCAATTTATTGAAGATAAAATGTAGTTAGATATTTCAAGCACTAATTCCACAAGTAGGGTCTAGAGACGGTGTTGTGTACCGCAACTCTTCTGGTGAAGGAACTGAACAAATTTTGAACTGAACTCTGACGGAATTCGGATAGGACGGTAACTTCTATTAAGCCACACTGCTATTCCTCTTGCCTCCAATATAGGCTGTGAAAATTTTAAGAAAATACAGTAAGATTTGACAAGTATAAAGTGACTCTTTGTAATCTATATATATATATATATATATATATATAAAGCTGGATATGAGAGCGTTGATGTGGCACCCCTCTTAGGCCAGCATTTGTATTTATATTTTGTCATTTTTTTTTACCTTTTTCTCTATTATCATCTTAATATATTGATTAAATTAAATAAATACCCTCTATTGATCATTTCCCTTTAAATTCTTCCATTAATTCCTTTATTATTTTATGTATATGTACGTTACAGTATACCGCAAATGAAGAGGCAACAATATGTGAAGCTCATTTTATGGTTGCAAATATTTAATTCTTCCCCTAAATTTCATCCATTAATTTAGTTATTATTACAATTTACATGTCATATTTAGTCCTATCGAAAAGGCAAAAGACCCAAGAAGCTGTTGTTATTCCTGAAAATAAGTAGTAGTACATTTTCTTATCTTATTCCTTCTCTAATGAAATTGTTTTCTTAATTTTTTTTTATCTATTGTCACATATTTATTTATACAATCTATCTATATATATAATAAAGCTAGATATAAACAAGGTGATGTGGCACCTCTCAATGGCCTAGAAACCTATTTATCTTTTTTCTCCTTTTTTGAGTTTTTTCATTCATTTTTTTCCATTAATCAATTTATTAAATAAGTAAAAAATTCAATCATATTCATTACATATAATTATATAATTATATCATATGAAAGTTACAAAAAAACCTCCACCTATTTGAATTTTCTAATTAAATAACATTGTCTCCTCAACCTCCTTCTACTTAACTTTTATGATTTAAATAATCTATAAATAACAATCCTCTATGGTGTTGTTGCATGTTCATTTCTATTTTCTCCAACTTCATATTGTTAGTATTTTTTTTCCAGCTTTTATGAAGATTATAGATATATTTTTTAGAATTTCTTCTTGTGTTACAATAGCCAAACAAAAATTTATCAAGATGAAGAAGAAAGTTTGAAGGCGGTGTAAGATTCGTCAAAGGAGATGATCAAAAAATAATTTGCTACAAGTCATCAAAATGAAGAAGAAAGTTCAATGGTGGTGGCAGATTGATCAAGAGTTGGCCAGATTAAAATTTTAAAAAGTAGAAGTTTCAATAACATACAAATATATAGATGTACTTATTGTTGCTTACATAATTTTTCAATTAATTATTTATCCATCAAGATGTGTACCCTTCAAGAACAAGATTATATTGCAAAGCACATTTTTTGTATCAAGGTCAACATGATCTTCAACTGATTATTTTGTTGCTTAAATTTAAAAAAAAATATTTTCATTATATAATTTTTTGTCTTTTGCATATACAATCCATATTCTCTATTGATATATATTATGTATATAACATGTTAATATGACATAATTTTTCGATCAAGATTCCATCATCTTTTGTTTAGCTTTATCCGCTTCTTTTCAATCTAATTTGGATGATATAACGCATTTCTTTCTTTTGTGAAATTCGAATTGACTAAAAAGGAGATGAGATCCCCTCCATTAAATTTTTGTTTTGCATTTGTTATCACTTGTGTAAAATTAGCCTTTATATATGATTGTTGGATTCAATTTTCACAAAACATTTAATTCTTCTAATTTAATGAATTTTTTTAGAATGAACCAAGTTTGTTCTGCAAATATCCAATTACAATGAACATATTTTCTTAAGTTAAGAAATACTAAAAGTATAAAAATAATTATACATAGAGAAAATTGATATTTGTTTAAGTTATTATGAAACTAAAAAAATCGTTCACTCTCTTCATTAATTAATTTGTTTGATAATTAAAAAAATTTATAAAATTTATTACATATAATTACAACTCATAAATTACAAAAACCTCCATTTATTCACATTTACTACTTAAATGACATATCTCCTCAACTCCTTTCTATGATTCTCTTCATTACCTCTACATTTAGTTTTTCCAAAATATGATGGCTTTAAATTTTAATCTATCATTTGCACATTAGCTATTCAAGGTTTACATGTAGAACATTTTCACGGATGCATATGTTTTTTCTTTATTTGTGGTTGTAAGCTTGGTAACAAGACATACTCTAACTTTGATCCATCTCATGACTTACAAAAATCTTTATCTATTTATATTTTTTACTAAAATAACATGTCTCCTCAATTACTTTTTACCTAATTTTTTCTCTCTTTTTAAGACTTCTCAGTTTTCTTTCATTTACATCATATATTAAAATTGCTCAAAATTAAGTCATTTATCTATTACATAAATGAGCGTTCTAAATAACTTTAAAAATAAATGATTTATCTTCCCGATGACGCTATGCACATATTTTTGTATTCAAAAAGTCATTTCTTTTATAATTATTTAACGTGTAAATGAGGGGGAAAATGGAAGAATTGTTCAACATATCTCTTAAACTTTGAACAATTCACTTATTTTGAACTATAAAAAGGGCTCAACAATTCACTTATTTTGAAATAGAGGGAGTATATATTATTTATTAAAACTCAAGATTTTTAAAGTTTGTACTAAAATAATGAAATATATTTTTCTATTTTCTAACTTTTTAGTAATTAAATAAAACGTACCACAACGAAACATACAAAATCCACACTAAAATGAAATGAAGTACTATTTTAGTGAAATATATTGAGATATAAATATAAACTTTTTTTATTTGTGTGAAGACGAAAAAAAATTATAAATAATTTTAATATGATATAAAAATAGACACTAGCAAAAACTCTTATATACTAAGAGTCCTATTTATTCTTTTTCTCTTTCTTTTTTTTTGTCATAATTTAAAATTTGATTTTCTCTAAATAATTACATATTTAGTGAGTTTTGTAACTCCTCAAGAGTTAAAATATTCATTATTTATTATTTGTATAATTATTCTTTGATAATTAAAACAAATAAAAATAACGATATAATTTTGTTTCGAGTTGTTTGTTGAAACATTACTATTAATTGCTTTTCAATTTTATCATTACGATTTTATATATTTATCTTTCATTTTATTAGAAAATAGTTAGTTGTTCTTTCCTTTGTATTACTATTGACATGTTTTTTTTGTTAATTTTCATATTTTAACTTGCACAATTATTTTAAAAAAATAAGACTTTTTAAAAAAGATTACATACAAGTATGATTTTTTTAACAAAAAATCATATTGAGGAATGATATTATAAAAGGTCTAAGTTCAGTAGTTCCTCATTAAATAAGCATCCATTCTTTTAAAATATGAGGAGGACAAATTATTTATGTTTTATTTGATGATCAACGGCAAATAGAAAATTAAGCAGAAAATTAAGTTAGTATTTTTTTTTCAAAATAAAAAACATGTTCTTTTCACCCCAACAAAATAATAAGAAAACTATATCTTAAAAATTGAAATAATTATGATAAACATTTTAAAATTTTGATCTAAGTATTGATCATATTTCTTCTTTTTTAGTATGTGCTAATTTATAAGAAATTTTTTATCTTAAAAATAGTTGTTATGATCGTGCGAAGCGCGAACATGTTAACTAGTTGAGTGATAATAGAGGTAACTAACCTCTTGATCTGGAAGCTTGAAGATGAAATGCTCGAAAAACAATCGAGCTGCTGTAGAGCGGGATATTCGCACCTTCACCACGAATCTGTCTCCACTCTAAACAAAACAATGTTATATCAGGTTGCCTGTGTTTTTATAGTTGGATCTCCAAATTTTTTGAATACTCCAAATTTGACTTGAAGTAGTATGGTAAAAACTATATACAATTGACAAAACTAACAAATACATGAACCAATTAACAGGATGAAATTCGACATACCCTTAGAGGTGCTAGATACTTAAGTGAAAGCTCTGTTGTTGCTAATGCATCACCATTGCGACATACTTCATCAACACTTACACCAATCTTTTCAAGAAACTCATGACGACCTGTTTCATTTATTGAAAAATAAGTGTTCAAATATTGTCATATGTGTACGATCGATTATCGAAACAGTAAACCTTACAATGTTGACAATAACTTGCATAAGTAGCATTGTTTACAACACCAAACTGATCCAATTCATAGTCCCTGACTTTGAGTTCAACTTCATGTTGATAGAGCTGATCACCCATTCTGCAAAGTTCACAGATAAATGTAAACTCATACCAATAGGAAAAAAAAAAATGAAATTATAAGAGGTTTTTGTTCTTTTTTTAATATTGTGTTACGTTGTTTTATTTGTTGGTACTTATTTTAAAAGGTAACGAAAAATTCTGTGTACTGCCACTGAACATACATACCCTTGGGTACCTTTGAGATCGAATGCATTATGAGCTTCAAAACTCCTCGATTTATGGGACGATAACTGTAAATTTGGGAGCGGGAGTTGCCGGTGAGGGATGAACGGAAATGTAGACGGTGGTGGCCGATGATTCAGCAACAGTGGGTTGGGTGCAATGCAGACGGAATGAGACATTTGACGAAAAATTTCAGAAGTATAGAAGAGAAGGAAATTGCAAATATTGGGAAATCTGTTGACTATGTATACGTAGATTTTAGGCGTTAATGTTTATTGCTCAACCGTCTTATTTGGGTAATAAATGCTACCTACTTGCTAGGACGGGTGCCAAATAAACGATCGTAAATGAATGACACTAAGATTTTCATTAATGGCAAGGCGTAAGACAGACGAATAAATAAATGAGACAATATTTTATTTTGCTTAAAGTTTATTTGAATTAAAATGGATTAAATAATGGATCGTAACTCAATCTATTTAACTTGACTCAAATTTTCTAACCCAATTAAAATTTAACTGCATATTTCAAGAAACAACAACACGCACAATCAATCTACGAACATCAAAGTGAAGGGATGTCCTTTTTTGCTTGTCTTGATTCATCATAGCAGAGAATGAAATACAAATAACATGTTTGTGGATTGTTGTCACGATCCAAAAATGGACGTGACGGCACTCGTCTTATCCCACCAAGACAAGTCAGCCTAAAACTCAACCACTACAATAAAATGCGAAAATTTAATAATCAACAAAAAAAAAAAAAAACCCCAAAATCTGGTTGTCACGTGTACAAGCCTCTAAAGTATTACAATTGATTCAAAAGAAAAACACAAGTCTCAAATGACCTTGTTTCTAGAATAGAACAAGATCATAAATAGGAGTCAGAAGGTCTGCTGAGTTGACAAACAGCTACCTCACAAATCTCCAAGAAGCCTCGGAAAAGAAGAGAATATATCACAAAGGTCCGGGCCAGTAACCTACAAAAAAATGTAGTAGCAAGGGGTGAGTACCAAACCAGACGGTACTCAGCAAGTAAACCTCTAAACACAAGCTAAGTGGATAGAATACGAGTACTCCTTACACCCCAACCGAACCTCCACAACTACAACCTGCATAAAATCAGCCCAACCTAACAGTTCATAATTCACATAGCACATATCTCAACATCAACATTCTAACAATCACATATTCTCAACAACAAACTCAATATTCATCAATTACAATCTCCACGACTACAACCTGCTTAAAACCAGCCCAACCTAACAATTCACAATTCACATAGCACACAGCTCAACAACAACACTCTAACAATTACATATCCTCAACAACAAGCTCAATATTCACCAATCAAAGTTCCACAGAAAGGAACTCACAAGATTAGCAAAACACAATATCAAGTTCACTAATGATAAATATGTGCAATGCAATGGAATGCAATGTCAAGTATAGTGATACATGTCTGACCTAGTGATACACACTCGTTGTCTCTCAGTCCGGGACCCATGGGGGACATATCTGTTCATGCATTCGTCGAGGCGCGCGACACGTCCCTCGATAATAGTATCCATCCTGGCGAGCGATACGTCCCTCAAAATGGTACATTCTCTTATCACATAACACTTATCACAACCATGTCTTAGAACCAATGCAAATGACATGTTCACACAAATAATGAGGAGATGATCATCTTCATAACATTGCACAATTCACAATAACACAATCATGATACGACATCAACAATGATTCAACAAGCCTTTCAAACTATTCTCAACACATCACACACAACCAATTAATCATATTGCATTTTATTACCCCTTTTTCATCATTAGAATTAATCAATGTGGACAAGTCAACCCATCACCAAGTCTCATTACTCCCAAACACATATTACAAGGAAATACACAAATTCCATACACTTAGCAAGGGTTTGGAAATTCACTTGCCTCAAATAGTCGAACAGTCACTCCCAGACTTGAGTCTTTCCTTTTGCTGAACTTCCAAATCAATATAATCTATTCCAAATAAATAATCACAATAAGATTTCAAAATAACAACACTCATATTACTATTGTGTCTAGTCTAGACCCAAAAACTCGCCCAAGTTTATAATCAATTTCCTAAACTTCCAGCCTAGGATTCAATCTTAATTTCCTCCAATATCATAATTTAATGGTGTTCATAGGTATATAATACACCTAATATTGATAATCATATTAAGAAAAATCCCCAATATGAATCAATACCCTATCTGTAACTTTCACATGGAAAGAACAGAGAAACCAAGAAGTGACACAACAACAAAATTCCACCCTATAGTGCTTCGGTTTCCAATTATCATCAATTTTCTTACTTGTTTTGGCCAATGGTTAATCCTAATTATACTCCAATGATTTGCTGCATGCAATTATCTAATGACTATCCTAATTGGGCAACGATCACCCACTGGCAAGCTTGATCAACATCTGCCAAACACAAGAACAATAATTTCTCTAAAGATTTAAAGTTGCTATTGCCTTAAAATTGGAATCATTGCTTAATCATTGGTTATTAAGAAAATTCATAACAATTATTTAAAAAAAAAGGTCACGCTGAATCAGCAAAAATTGCTCAACCCAATTTCTTTCTGCTCTATCTAGCACTAATGATATCAATGAATTCCCCCTAATCTTCTAACATTTATAATTTATTATATTTGATAGGAAAGCTTCGTACCTATTGGCGGTCGTTGGACGCTGCTCCAAATATTTCCGTCGACTTTTCCTTTCCTCTCATGTACGTCTGCTTAGGTTAGTTTCTGACTCCTTTTTTTTTTCTTAAATTAGGACCCATAAATTCTCAACCCTAATAATTTATTTTCATATATGGGTCAAGTGGTATATGGTATTAATTAAATTATAAACTTGACCCATTAAGCATTAACTAAATTTAGTTATTTAATAAATAACCTTCAATAAATTAACTATGGTTATACGAATATTCAAAATTTTCAAAAATGACCTTCTGGGTTATTACAATTGTTCTATGAAAGAGGTGTTTATTACAACAACTATTAATTTCAATTTTATTAGCAAACGAATCCAATTTTATTCCAATTGTATAATTGTTGATTGTGTATAAGTAAAGTATAGAGTATTCATTCGATAAATAGTTATGCACATTTAAATTTATGATAAGAGTTGGAATGTATACATATTCAAGTATGCATTAAAATATGACTAGCTATGTATATTAACTCGCTTAGAAATTGTATACATTGATTGATTGATTTTTGACACGAATGTACGGACAATCATGTATACATTGTCAATTGTGTATGCATAAAAGTATTAAATATTCACTCAATAAGGGGATGTTTGGTTATTGGTTAGAGTTATGCAGGGTTTAGTTATATAGGTATTAATTATGCAGGGTTTAGTTATATAGGTATTAGTTATGCAGGGTTTAGTTACGCAAATATTAGTTATGTAGGATTTAGTTATGCAGGATTTAGTTATGTATGTATTAGTTATGCAGGATTTGGTTATGTAGGTATTAGTTATGTGGGTATTATTTACTTATGCAGAAATTACACTGTATGAATTATTAGCTATTGAATATTGAATTTGTTGTAAATTAATATATTATTATTTACAAACAAATGAGCAAGCAAATAATATAAATTCTCCCTATTTTTGAATAAAAGTAAAGTAAAAAGAATTCTCCATTTATACTTAAGTGAGAATTATGTTTATTTTCTTGCTATTTTATTTTATTTATTTTTTAACTCAAACGAGCACTAAAAATTAATTTCTTGATTAATCGAAACCACAAATAAATTCTAACGAAAATAATCTAAAAGACAACAACTCTTACTCCTCCGGTTTCCGTTGAAGCACCATCGCCACCTTCTCTTGAAGAGCAATCACTGTAGTGGTCACCTATTTAATATTTTCTGCAATTTACTTTTTTAAAAATACAATATCCAATATTAATATTCTAATAATCAATATAGTTAGGTAATGTTCTCAATAAAAAGACATAAAAATAAATCAATAGGGGTAAAATATGTAATTTATTATTTTAATACATATATAACATGCAAATGAGTATGGGTTTTTGGAGGAGGGGCCGAGGGGGGAGGGGGGGGCAAATGAGTATGGGCTTTTGGATAAGACAATTGGGGTTGGAGGGTGGGGGAGCAGGTGTTTCTGCAAATGAGTATGGGCTTTTGGAGAAGACAATTGGGGGGAGGGGGGCACGTGTTTCTGTTGCGGGGAAATTTTCAAAATAATAGGTTTTTTTAGCCACACTTTTAATATTTATCTAAAATGTCAATATTTTAGTTTGTTATGTATTTGATTTATATATTTTTTATTTGTTTGATTTTCAAGATTACAATTATTTAGAAAGGAGAAAATCAAGGGAGATAATATTTTTTTTAAAAAGGAACATATCACTTAAAATTCTCATCAGTTACAATTTCAAAAAAAATCTCTTTTTCATTCGATTGGATCAACTTTCCTTTTTATTATGTTTTCATTATAATTGTATACCAATAATTTTTACATTTTATGTGCTTACTTTACCATTCAAATTAAAATTGATTTTTTTACTTTCATAGTGAAAACTACAAATTGTATTTTAGTGATCAAAATTGTATTACATGACTGCCAAATATATTTTTCTTTTATTTGTATTATAAAAATATTACTGATTGTATCTCAATATAATCTAATCATTACATATGAATATGATTTATGAAAGGATACAAGATTTTGGGGAAAAAATAGCATACATGGTGGAAATAATACAATCTGTTGAGGAAGGATATAATATTCTAAAAAAATAAATACAAATTGATTATGAAAGAAATAGGGATACAAGATTCTGGAAAACAAATAGCATACATAATGAAAATAATACAATCTGTTGATGAAGGATACAATATTCTAAAAAAAATACAAATTGACTGTTAAAAAAATAGGATACATATACGCTTAAGAAATACAAATCCATTTGACATACCTATATGAATGACTACAAACTAAAAATGAAATACAATGTTCTTTATAAAAATACAAATGATGAGTAAAAGAAAAATAATTGACAAACAAAAATTAAAATGAATATTATTCTAGTATGAATACAATTTTGCAACGTTCTCCTCTGACTCTCTCTTTCTTCCTCCTACTATGTTCCTTTTTCCCAATTTTTTTCACCAAACCCAAATCTGAATCTGTATTCACTTGTGC